GTAATGGAGCATGTTTCAAGTGGGCTCAGGCAGGCAGTTGCGATGCCAGCAACTGCCACGGCGTCTATTTGTGGACGAGGGGCGACAGAAGCGCCTCGCCCTCAGCTGCCGCCGACTGCGTTTGTCACAAAGGCCGACAAACACATGCGGGCACGCACCTGTCGGCCGCTATCTGCTATCACGTCGCACGCTTGCGGGGCCTCGCCAGACAGGTGGCGTCCACGCAATGCCCGGCGGTGACTCCGACCGGCCGCTAGCGCCAAACGCTCACCAAAGGCCGTTCAAGGCCAAACAAAAAAAATAACGTAAAACTGTAATTTAATGTGACACAATAATTTTCCATGGTTCGACTTTTTTTTTGTTGTAATTATAATTCACTTTTTTTGGGAGCTGGGGGGGGCAAAGTAACTGAAAAACTACAGTGTCTCATCCAAAAATACAAATTACATGACAATACAATCGTTATAATTTAGTACATAAATTCAAAAATCACCGTATAAAAAGTTAAAATGAAATAAAATTATTGTGTGCTGTTTAAAAAAAAGTGTTCATTAAATAAAAAAATAGTTCCTTAATAAAACTTTTAAAAACAACCAGCTCTTAAAATTTAAATGCACATTTATACTAATCAGTTAAATACAACTGAACTTTATTTAGGCTCAGATGCTTTTGCTTACCACTAAAAGTAGCGCTGGTGGTTCTCGTACCACACTGACAAGCATCACTTCAATATTACTTTCAACCTGTTTTTTTTTTTTTTTTGGTTTTTTTTTTTTTTGTTTCACTGTTGTTTTCTATCTCTGCTTGTCAATTTTGAATGTCCGAATGGGACCCATTTATGATTGGGTTTCTCGTTTGCACACCATCTTACCAAGAAGTAATCCTCTGTAGCTAACCAACATTTTCAACACCTTGTACGCCTCGGCAAACAACATTTCCGCCATCTGGGAAACCTGGCACGTGTCAAATCCAAAGACAAACGAGGTCATCGGAATACTCAGGATATTGACATAATCAAATGAAGCCGTGGCCTTCATTAACCCCGCGCCAGACCGTTCACGGGGCATCTGATCACCACGCGTCAAGTCAAGACGTGGCGCGAGGGTGGGCAAACAAAGCCTCAGTCACACGCGACCAGACACGGGGGCGATATTAGCATCCATTTAGGTTAATTTCGGGTCCACCCGGCACAGCCAACATGCGGCCCCGCTTGTTTCGGTCTGGCCCGGAGAGACATGTGGTATCCATAACTGGCCCTCAAGCGGCTAAATGCTCCACTTTGTTGGGGCGGCGGCAGCAGCTCGGCCAGAAATACGTATCTGCGCTTTTTTCTTCACCCCCGCCGCTCTCCTTCGAGCGGCCGATGCAAAAACAATCGAACGGGCTCGTCGGCCTTGGCAGAGGCCCGCGCTCTCCGAGTGTCACCAATTTGATCTGGAGTTTTATGGCCCGAGTAACACGCTGCGGCGTAATGAGAACGGGCTGCTCGTCTTGCAGGCTACGCGGTTGTTTTCTTTCACTGTGCAAACCGCTGACATTGCCGCTTATAGTTGTTTGCATCTGATTTACAGTGGCCGCTTTGTGTCATTTTTTTCAGCGGCCTGCAAGCCTATTCCAAGGCATAACTGACAAGCTCATTTCGTCAGTTTTTTTCAAACACGTGACATCAGCAACCTGTCCGAAAATAAATTCACGGCACACCAAACAAAAAAATGGTCCTAAAAGTGTACTGTCGTTACTGACTGATGAACAATGAATTTGTCTCAATGGACTCAGAACTTGGTCTGCGCCGTGCCTGCTTGCAAATAAGGCTGATACGAAGCGCATGACACAGATTAATTTGTCTGCCGTCAACCATTTGAAAAGCATTTCGCAGCTGTCACGATACGTCCCGAATTACACTCTACTACATCATGCAATATATATATATATTTTTAAATTTTGCACTCTGCAAAAATGCCATATATATTTAAAAAAACTATAACTAATACTAAAACTAATTTTAAAAAATAATTAAAAAAAATAACAAACCTGATCTAAAATGAAAAATAAAAAATAAATAATTTGCGCATGAATGAAATATTCTTGGACCCCCCCCCCCCCGGTCCTTAACCACAAGCTATTCGTTTTACTGCATATTGAAAGAATAAATATGCAATTGATTCAAACACAAAACTTCGAAAACAAGCTACCTTAAATATAAAACAGTCAAGTCAATCAAATTCAGCACTTTGACACCATTGCAAGTAGACAACATGGCCGAGATGTCATTGTTTATCATACCATCCACAGTGATGCTTCCAGGAAACAAAATGCTCGCCAATCTTGCACACACACTCCAATACAAGCAGCGGTGTTCGGAATGGTGAAGAACAACGGCATCGCGCGTCCTTGTGCTTTTTTTTAGATGTGATTCGAACGACTGAAACATGGACCGCAAAACGCAAAGTGGCATCGGATGTTGGTGACAACGACCACGTGGACTGACTTTTAGCAACCGAGATAGACTCCTCAAAACGTTGCTTTTCTGACTTAAGATCGTTGCTGCTCGATTATGAGCGTGATGCGCATTGTGCTAGATATGTGTGAATTTTATTTCAGGAAACTGACTGCGGGTATTTTGATGAACAATGACACAAGGCATGGCCACTCTTCACTGAGGTGCTGCCACCCTAGCGGCCTCGCTGAAAACATTTTCTGGCTCCAATCGTGTCCAATCGGGAATGCCGGCGCTGAGATTGAAACCCAGAAGTCGGTTCTCCGTCCTGAGTGCGTGATCACCAGGTTGCGGCGTCTGCCCGCCCGTGACAGAGTGGCTCTCGTGTCCTCCCACCCTCGGGGTGCTCATTTCGTGAAGGTCTGAGATCAAACTGCCTTTTGAAGTTGGATTCTCTCTGTCTGTCTGGTCTTGAGATGAAAGCAAGGGGCAGCTCGACGCGAGCTTCTGCAGACGGAGGTTCCTCTCTCTCTCTCTCTTCCCCTGCGGTGATGGAAACCAGAGGGTGAGCTCTAAG